TGGTTCCAGTGCACCTGTTTTGCGCACTGGACTGTTTTGACGCATTACAGCGTAACTCTGTATTCCAGAATAAATCCTGTTATTCTATGATTTACCCTTCTGAGCCTGACTCCTTCAAATCACCCATCACATGTAATTGTTTTTTTCCCCCTATACAATCTACACACAATAACTCATAATGACAAAGTGAAAACAGGTTTTAAAAATAAAAAACAGAAATACCTTATTTACATAAGTATTCAGAACCTTTGCTATGAGACTCGAAATTGAGCTCAGGTGCATCCTGTTTCCATTGATCATCCTTGAGACGTATATACAACTTGATTGGAGTCCACCTGTGGTAAATTCAATTGATTGGACATGATTTGGAAAGGCACACACCTGTCTTTATAAGGTCCCACAGTTGACAGTGCATGTCAGAGCAAAAACCAAGCCATGAGGTCAAAGGAAATGTCCGTAGAGCTCCGAGACAGGATTTTGTCAAGGCACAGATCTGGGCAAGGGTACCAAAACATTTCTACAGCATTGAAGGTCCCCAAGAACACAGTGGCCTCCATCATTCTTAAATGGAAGAAGTTTGGAACCACCAAGACTCTTCCTAGAGCTGGCCGCCCGGCCTTGGTCAGGTAGGTGACCAAGAACCTGATGGTCACTCTGACAGCGCTCCAGAGTTCCTCTGTGGAGATGGGTGAACATTCCAGAAAGACAACCATCTTTGCAGCACTCCACCAATCAGGCCTTTATGGTAGAATGGCCAGACGGAAGCCACTCCTCAGTAAAAGGCACATGACAGCCCGCTTGGAGTTTGCCCAAAGGCAACTTTCTCTCAGACCATGAGAAACAAGATTCTCTAGTCTGATGAAACCAAGATTGAACTCTTTGGCCTGAATGCCAAGCTTCACGTCTGGATGAAACCTGGCACTATCCCTATGGTGAAGCATGGTGGTGGCAGCATCATTGTTTTTCAGCGGCAGGGACTGGGAGACTAGTCAGGATCAAGGGAAAGAAGAACGGAGCAAAGGGCAGAGAGATCCTTGATGAAAACCTGCTCCAGAGCACTCAGGACCTCAAACTGGGGCGATGGTTCACCTTCCAACAGGACAACGACCCTAAGCACACAGCCAACACAATGCAGGAGTGGCTTCGGGACAAGTCTCTGAATGTCCTTGAGTGGCCCAGCCAGAGCCCGGACTTGAACCTGATTGAACATCTCTGGAGATGAAAATAGCTGTGCAGCGACGCTCCCCATCCAATTGACAGAGCTTGAGAGGATCTGCAAAGAAGAATGGGAGAAACTCCCCAAATACAGGTCTGCCAAGCTTGTAGCATCATACCCAAGAAGACTTGAGGCTGTAATCGCTGCCAAAGGTGCTTCAACAAAGTACTGAGTTAAGGGTCTGAATACTTATGTAAATGTGATATTTCCGTTTTCTATTTTTAATACATTTTCAAAAATGTCTAAAAACCTGTTTTTGCGTTGTTATTATGGGGTATTGTGTGTAGATTGATGAGGATAAAAACAATTTAATTCATTTTAGAATAAGGCTGTAACGTAACAAAATGTGGAAAAAGTCAAGGGGTCTGAATACTTTTTTTTCAACGTAATTTTGCTTACTGGGAAGGCATATCAGAAACATGGACAGAATATGGACAGAAGCATAAAATGTCTTGAGTAGGCCAGTCAAGGAGATTGACATGACATTAGTGTAAGTTATCTGATGATAGACACAGCATAGGCCTATAGAAGTTCAATATCATCAGATACATTTTTTGTCAATCTTATGTACTGTCCTTTTATCCATAATTTCTAACTATAAATTAATTTGAGAGTGATTATTCACCAACCCCATCCAACCCTCAGTTCACTACACAAAGTGTCAGGGTCAGCTTGTTGAAATTACAGATTGTGCCTTGCCTTGAAAGGGAAGATTTTTTGTTTGATTAGCCTGCCCTATGCAAATTATGTTTAAGATAATGGCGCTGGAGGAGATGGCTGCCTTTTTACAGGCTCCTAACCAATTGTGCTATTGTGTGTTTTTTTCGCGTTATTTGTAATTTATTTTGTACATAATGTTTCTGCCACCGTCTCTTATGACTGAAAAGAGCTTCTGGATATCAGGACAGCGATTACTCACCTCGTACTTGAGGTAGATTTTTTATTTAATGAGTCGGACGGGAAGGATTTACTTAAGACACCAGACAATGCCCAAATCCCCATCATTCGCAGGAGAAAGAGACGGAGATATCAGGGACGTAGGTCGGGGTTCCTTGTAAGGATCAGACGGCAAGTGGGTAATCTGCCTCTACCATCAGTCCTATTAGCCAACGTACAATCATTGGATAACAAAATAGACAAGCTACGATCACGAATAAAAACTGTAATATCTTATGTTTCACAGAGTCGTGGCTGAACGACGACATGGATAACATACAGCTGGCGGGGTTTACGCTGCATCGGCAAGATAGAACAGCTGCCTCCGGTAAGACAAGGGGTGGCGGTCTGTGTATATTTGTAAACAACAGCTGGTACACAAAATCTAATATTTAGGAAGTCTCAAGGTTTTGCTCGCCTGAGGTAGAGTATCTCATGATAAAATGTAGACCACACTATTTACCAAGAGAGTTTTCATCTATATTTTTCTTAGCTGTCTATTTACCACCACAAACCGATGCTGGCACTAAGACTGCACTCAATGAGCTGTATAGGGCCATAAGCAAACAGCAAAACGCTCATCCAGAGGCGGCGCTCCTAGTGGCTGAGGACTTTCATGCAGGGAAACTTAAATCCATTTGACCTCATTTCTACCAGGATGTTAAATGTGCAACTAGAGGAAAAAAAACTCTAGAACACCTTTACTCCACACACAGAGACGCGTACAAAGCTCTCCCTCGCCCTCCATTTGGCAAATTGGACCATAATTCTATCCTCCTGATTCCTGCTTACAAGCAAAAACTAAAGCAGGAAGCACCAGTGACTCGGTCAATAAAGAAGTGGTCAGATGACGCAGATGCTAAGCTACAGGAATGTTTTGCTAGCACAGACTGGAATATGTTCCGGGATTCTTTCGATGGCATTGAGGAGTACACCACATCAGTCACTGGCTTCATCAATAAGTGCATCGATGACATCATCCCCAAAGTGACCGTACGTACATACCCCAACCAGAAGCCATGGATTACAGGCAACATCCGCACTGAGCTAAAGGGTAGAGCTGCCACTTTCAAGGAGAGGGACTCTAACCCGGACGCTTATAAGAAATCCCGCTATGCCCTCTGACAAACCATCAAACAGGCAAAACGTCAATACATGACTAAGATTGAATCGTACTACACTGGCTCCGACGCTCGTCGGATGTGGCAGGGCCTGCAAATTAATACGGACTACAAAGGGAAGCACAGCAGCGATCTGCACAGTGACACGAGCCTACCAGATGAGCTAAATTACTTCTACGCTCGCTTCGAGGCAAGCAACACTGAAGCATGCATGAGAGCATCAGCTGTTCTGGACGACTGTGTGATCACGCTCTCCGTAGCCGATGTGAGTAAGACCTATAAACAGGTCAACATTTACAAGGCCGCAGGGCCAGACGGATTACCAGGACATGCGCTGACCAACTGGCAAGTGTCTTCACTGACATTTTCAACCTGTCCCTGACTGAGTTTGTAATACCAACATGTTTCAAGCAGACCATCATAGTCCCTGTGCCCAAGAACACTAAGGTAACCTGCCTAAATGACTACAGACCCGTAGCGCTCATGTCTGTAGCCATGAAGTGATTTGAAAGGCTGGTCATGGCTCACCTCAACACCATTATCCCAGAAACCCTAGTCCCACTCCAATTTGCATACTGCCCCAACAGATCTACAGATGATGCAATCTCTATTGCACTCCACACTGCTCTTTCCCACCTGGACAAAAGGAATACCTACGTGAGAATGCTATTCATTGACTACAGCTCAGCGTTCAACACCATAGTGCCCTCAAAGCTCATCACTAAGCTATGGACCCTGGGACTAAATACCTCCCTCTGCAACTGGATCCCAGACTTCCTGACGGGCCGCCCCCAGGTGGTAAGGGTAGGTAACAACACATCTGCCACGCTGATCCTCAACACGGGGACCCCTCAGGGGTGCGTGCTCAGTCCCCTCCTGTACTCCCTGTTCACCCATGACTGCATGGCCAGGCACGACTCCAACACCATCATTAAGTTTGCCGATGACACAACAGTGGTAGGCCTGATCACCGACAACGATGAAACAGCTTATAGGGAGGAGGTCAGAGACCTGGCCGTGTGGTGCCAGGATAACAACCTCTCCCTCAACATGATCAAGACAAAGGAGATGATTGTGGACTACAGGAAAAGGAGGACCGAGCACGCCCCCATTCTCATCGACAGGGCTGTAGTGGAGCAGGTTGAGAGCTTCAAGTTCCTTGGTGTCCACATCACCAACAAACTATCATGGTCCAAACACACCAAGACAGTCGTGAAGAGGGCACGACAAAGCCTATTCCCCCTCAGGAGACTGAAAAGCTTTGGCATGGGTCCTCAGATCCTCAAAAAGTTATACAGCTGCACCATCGAGAGCATCCTGACTGGTTCCATCACTGCCTGGTATGGCAACTGCTCGGCCTCCGACCCCAAGGCACTACAGAGGGTAGTGTGTACGGCCCAGTACATCACTGGGGCCAAGCTTCCTGCCATCCAGGACCTCTATACCAGGCGGTGTCAGAGGAAGGCCCTAAAAATTGTCAAAGACTCCACCCACCCTAGGACTGTTCATAGACTGTTCTCTCTGCTGTCCGTCCGTCCGTCCGTCCCCCCCCCCCCCCCCCACCTCTTTTACGCTGTTGCTACTCTCTGTTTATTATCTATGCATAGTCACTTTAACTCTACCTACATGTACATATTACCTCAGTTACCGCGACCAACAACACCTGTTTTATTCGGCGCATGTGACAAATAGAATTTCATTTGATTTGTATTTGTGACGTGGCGAACCAGCGACACCTCGAGCTGACTTCCTGCTTTGAGGCTAGGAAGAGACTGCTAGATTGCCTTCCACATATTTTCAAAAGAAATACTCAGGTATGTCTGAAATTTATATATATTTTTATAGCAAATAATTTGCTCTTCATAAAGATTAATAACTGATCGAAATACTTGTTGCTATTTACACTTTTAAATGAAAGAAGTAGACGATAGCTAACGTTTTAGCTAACGTTAGCATGGACGGAATCAACAAAAGAGGACTAAAGTTAGCTAGCTAGCCAGTTAATCAATCACTCCATTGTATTGTGTTATAACAGATTTGCGGACCTAGCGAACTGTAGATAATACTAACGTTATCTAGTTAATCGTATTCGATAGGGGGGAAAAGTATATTCAAAAACATTGTTTATGTCGAATGCAAACACATAACTAGTTAACTAACATTAGCCTTCTCATGACTCCAATCCTAATGGCTGTATGGCATTGGGTTCTCGAGAGCTAACACATAGCTAACTAGCCATGTTGTTAGCTTAGCATGCTGACTTTATTTAGCGGGCTGACTTGTTACTGACTTTAGATTTTACTGTCTAGTTAGCTAACTGTAGCCCGCCTCTTTTTGCTACAGAACCTATCGAAGTGGTTTATTATGAAACGTCACTTTGAAGTAAGGTCAGTAGTACCAAAAATACATTAATTGCCTTAAAGAAAGTATTTCTGGTAGTACTAGCTAGTTAGCCACTAACCAGTGCATGTTCAAAAGACTTCTGCTAACTAGGTGTATAATTTATGAGTCCAAGGCATTCATCAGCATTACCCTGTGTTCTAAAGCTTTCAGACTCTGGTCCAAGGTGCTCTGCAGATTATATTGAACTCAACATGTACTACTACTACTCCTGCTCCACAAAGATTCTAGATTTTTCCTAATTAAAGCATTAGAAGAGGACGGATTGGGACTAGGATTAGGATACGGATTCTATAAAAAATTGTGTGTGCAATTTAAAGCATTAGAAGAGGACGGCCTAGGATTTGGATTAGGACACGGATTCTAGATTTTTTGGTAATTTAAAGCATTAGAAGAGGATGGACTAGGATTGGGACTAGGATTAGGATACCGATAATCTCCACCATTGTTCTTGGAATCGATCAGTGAGTTTGAAGCCTGCAGGTGCCTTCGGTTTATTTTAGCAGGGCCTAACCAATACCAACAATGACTGATGGAAGGATCTACGTGGGAAATCTTCCAATGGACGTCCAGGAGAGGGACATAGAGGATCTCTTCTTCAAATATGGAAAAATCCGGGATATCGAACTAAAGAATAACAGGGGAACCATCCCTTTTGCTTTTGTTCGCTTCGATGATCCACGGTGAGTTCCAGGGATGATCTAGTGCGTGTACAAGTCCAATCACAATACCTGGCTGTTTGGCAAGCTGTTCTCCTCTGATTTAGTAACATCACCAGGGACTGACCTCAGGGAACGGATGGAGAAGGCGTTGCCAAGTGTATTTCCCTTAGGCAAGTAAGTAAGGAGTTCTGTGCTCTCTCCTCTTAGGGATGCGGAAGACGCGGTCTATGGAAGGAATGGATATGGATTCGGAGACTCCAAGCTACGTGTAGAATACCCTCGCTCCTCTGGTGCCAAATTTAGTGGCCCTATGGGAGGAGGAGAAGGAGGGGGTCCTAGGGGGAGGTTTGGGCCTCCAACTCGGAGATCTGAGTTCCGGGTGATAGTGACTGGTAGGTGGACGTTCTGAGTCGTAGGCAGTGTTGTTTTTGTCTCTCTCTCTCTCTTGGCGGACTGGAGGTCAAGGGGACTAAGTGGAGGTCAAGTCAGCTGCCCAAAACAAACACGAGCAAAACAATAAAAACTCAAACTGATCATGTTGACTGCATAAACCCAAACACCGGCCATAGTGACTGGTAGGTGTATGTTTTATCATTAATTTTTGTTTTACCCATTGCTTGGAGGTATTTCGCTATTAGGGCCGGGGCAATACCAGTATCGCGATACTCGTTAGTGTCGTGGCAAGGAAATAAAACACAAAGCGGATCTTTTCTTTAGGAAAACAGCCCTAATGTTGAAAACAAACATCATTGTGTTGTCATCCAGAGTCACATTTTATTTTCCTAGCTATAGCACACTATTTTACATACAGCAGGTTTTTTAAGAACTAAAGAGTTATCGGGATACTGGTATCGTCCCGGCCCTAATTGTATCTGTGTTGTATATCCTCTAATATAGCTAGAAGAGCTTATTTCTTAGGTTTCAACACAACTGGCAGTCAGATCATACTTTTCTTTCAAATCAAGGGAAAATATTAGTAGTGACTGACTATTTGCATACTTATAGTATCCCTCAAAGCTTTGCATGAAATGTAAATACAAATGTGAATTGGGTACATGCCACCTGAAACGGGTCTATAGAAACTGTACTTGAAAAGCCATATTTGATGGCATCAAAAATATCACTCTTCCACTCCAACAAGCAGAGACATTATGCAGACTGGGCAGCTTTTGGTAAAATGACAATGTGATGTATCCCCTCCCAGGTTTGCCCCAAACTGGGAGCTGGCAGGATCTGAAAGACCACATGCGTGAGGCAGGGGATGTGTGTTTCGCCGACGTGCAGAGGGATGGTGAAGGAGTGGTGGAGTTTGTCCGTCGGGAGGACATGGAATATGCCCTGCGCAGACTGGACAGGACTGAGTTCCGTTCCCATCAGGTGGGTACACATCTCCACAGTAAAACATGTCAAATATGAGTGCATTTGTGAGTCACAACAAGCTTATCCAAGTTCATGATGGAAAACGGGTCGTCTCAGTCATTTGCTCTGTGTCCCTCAGGGGGAGACCGCGAACATACGTGTCCACGGAGAACGTGGTGCCAGTTATGGTCGCTCGCGGTCCCGCTCCAGATCCCCCCGGGGGCGTGGCTACTCACCACCACCTTACCAAAGCAGAGGGTCCCCTCCACAGCGCTACCAGTCACCCCCACGCCGCTCTGTGTCCCGCCATAGCCCCCCAGCGAGGCGACACTCAGTACCGTACCATAGCCCGCCCCCACGCCACTATCGGTAGACCAGCCAGCCATTCACAAGAGGGCACTGATGATTAGGGGCAGTTTCATTATTATTTTGATCCCATATCTCCTCCCTAAGACACACACAAATAATTGTCCCCCTTTTGCTTGCTATGTACATTCCTTTATCAGTCACCCCTGCCCTCCTGTTGGCATTAACATTGTTGATTTCTTCCTGTTGATTGACTTAAGCTTCAGCTCCCTGTGTCAGGTCACTGTAGTCAGCTCAGTTCTGATGTCTGGTGAGACCATTTGTTAACATGCCAATTAACTGGTCTTGCTGCTCAAGTACATATATGAACATGATCTGTTTGATGAACACTGCCCTGAGAATAGTGACACTCAACAAAAACTAAATGTGAACATCTGCCTGTATCATCTATTCCTTTTAAATGAATTGTAAGTGTGTGTGAACCTCTAAGAATGAATTAATACATTTGGAAATTGATTTTGATTGTAATCTCCTGGTAAACCTCTGCGAAAATCATGTTTTATTTTAAAGAAATATTGAACTTTTTAGCCAGTTCATTCCTGTTTTCCCTCCTGTTTTTGTAACCTGTGGTGGCTGTATGCAAGATAATTTTGTTTTTCAATTAAAAGCACTGAAACAAACCAAACACCTGCACTCAATGGTTTGTCACATTGCAGATTAGGTTTCCTGCTACACCTTTTGATGTCCATCCACAGAGCTGAAAATATTACTTGGTAGTAATGTAACATGATTCTTCTATTTATTGTTTTGTCAATGTACATGTCAATCACAGCATTACATTGCATCGCATCATGCACTGAGAATCAAATCATACACTGGGAAAAAAACTGAAGTGCAATGGAGCTAAGAGCGAGACAGACAAAACATCTAATATTGCACAGTGTAAACCAAATGAATGTCCTTGTATGATGTTGATGAGCTTTCTCTTCAAGCCCAATGCTTCCACATTGATGCCCTCTTCAGTTGTCTTGTGAGGGACATTAAGCCAGGCACTCTTATAATAGACATCGACAATTCCAGAACTGAATTTGTATTTATTTTTTACTCCCTTTGCAAAGTATCATAGTCCTTTATAATGAATGAGTATCTGATGTGACCACCAATTTACATGCATCTTGTGACCATGGATATTTATTGGTCTGACCCAAATGTCTGGATTCTTAGCTTCCACTTGTAATCCATTCCCAACATAGAAATTACAATACCCATTGTCAAGTCATTTAGCATTTTGGATCCTTCATATGAATGCTCATTAGTCTCCACATTAGAAGGACAGCGGCCTCAAACAAAACCCAATCCAAGATAAAAGGGTGGAAACCCTGTACATGGTCCATGGCAATCCCAGTGAGTCACAGGGCAAAGTTGTTGGGGAGATCCTCCATCTCAGCTGTCTGGTTTCTCTTTATTGGGGCCCATGAATTCTACGCTATCAATGGGAATGTCCTTTTCTTTGATGGCCTTCTGCAAATACAAGCACAACATATGTAGCTGTCTCATTAGATTAGACATCTGACATTTAAAAACACTAAATAATAATTAATTCTGAGAAGACAGTAGGCCTATATCATTTATTGAGGATATATTTATTTCCAATACATTGATGTCTTTTGGTCAAATATGTTTTATAACAAGCTAGCTAAGTTTCCCCTTTTATCTGTGCTTCAGTCTTTTGAATAATATACTTATTCTGGGACCTAATATCATGACAACTGACACATTGGTCTTGCATCATGGCTGTTTTGGTTACCTAACAGTAAACGGTGCAGCATCAATGAGTGGTGATTATGAGGAAACATCAGGCGGATAGCTAGCTAACAACATATGTCCGTGTTTGATATCATGTATTTACCTGGACACAATGCTGATATTTCTTGAACATTTCGGTACAGGGATCACCGCTTCGATCTTCCTTCAAGAATTTCTCAGCAAACCAACGGTTAAAGCACTGGTCATATTCCCGTTTTAGGTCAGTGCAGCCCTCTCCAACACTATTCATCTTCAAGACAGAATAACCATAGAACATATGAGAATAACAAATACTGAAGGGATAAATGTTTTAAGCTTAAGTGTCTCTTCCGCACAGTTTTCTTGACTCTCCTTGAACCATGTGGTCTGATTGGCCAGACAGCATGGCGTATATTGATGACGTAGTTGAACAAGCTACACATCGTAAATCTACACAACAGACGGAACCGGCTAATTGTAGGGCTTGCGAAGCAAAAGCCCCAGCTTCAATCTTCGACATACTTCTTATTGTGGCGTTTGCGAAGCAAAAGCCCCAGCTTCAATCTTCGACATACTTCTTCTTATTATTATTCTTTAGCATGCTAGACCTCTTACACAGTTTCAGCTAGAAACGCCATTCAAACTTTAAAACGTGCTGAATGGTCAAGCTTGAGTTGCTTGTATACAGCTTTTTTAAATATATTTTATACTTTTAAAAATATTTAACATTTGTTCTCCTTTTTTGTCCTTCATCCCCTTGTATGGGCTTTCATCAAGATTCTAAAATACCCCGTTGTGACATCGTCAATTACAATTTCCATTCACTGTAAATGCAATAATGCAACTTTTGACACAAATGATCAGCTACTTTGACCACTTTGCAACAACTTAGACAAAAAGTTAGAGCGTTTAGATCTTCGTCTACTTCTCTGCTACTCAAATCTGGCGTTTCAACAAAAAATAATATTCTGATAAAAAGTTACAGCTTTTGCAAACTGCCATTTTGACCGCTCCCCCAACAAGTCAGACAAAAACATAGAGGTTATTAAATCTTCCCCTACTTCTCTGCTTTTCAAATCCGAAAACAGATTAGGAATAGTGTCTACCAATCTGTAGATAGAGCATTTTTAGATCCCATCAACTGCTCTCAATCCAACAACAGTTGCAAATTCCAATAAAACTACACCACGTTTTGAAGTTCACTTTCCTTGCTTTGTCTAACAACACTATCATGAATCTAGCAAATACGTTTTGTGGGTCAGAGTGCAGTATTTAGTTAATATTAAAGCACACATTTACTGTATGTTAGCATGTTTCTCACACTCTCTTTAGCCATAAGGGAGCAGTGTTGCCTTGGCTACTGTTGCCTAGCAACAATTGACTAGCAGGAATGAATGTCTTCATAGTTCCCATGATTTGTCAATCTGTTTCAAACCGAACAGCTAGCATTATGATTTAAAATACTTTAAAATACTGATTTCAAATACTTTCCTGGTCTGGACGACCTGGAATGATAAAGAGAAGATGTCTAATGCTTACTAGCTTCAACCTCCTTTTCCAGGATCATGTGCCGTGCTCTAAATAACTTAACTGGCTAGTTTGCCTGTCTCTGAAGAGAAGGGTGGGCTGTACCCCTCTGATTGGATAGAGCGGATTAGGAATAGCTTCTACCAATAAAAAGTTACAGCTGTTAGTCAGAGTTTAGAGTTACAAAAAGGGGCTAGCTGAGATCTACTAACAGCTCTCTGTGTCATCGTTGAGCAGCCCAAACTGAGCTGTTGCTATGGATACTCACAGACACAGAAGGCAAAAATGATGAGGAGGGCGCCCTTACAAAAATGTACAATGGTACTACTATGGTACTTTCATTCATACCATGGTACTACTATGGTACTTTCACTTATACCATGGTATAGTCTGAATCATGGAAATGTACCATGGTTTTAACCTTGAAGTATGATTGTACTGCCATGCACCTAAATAATACCATGGTATTGACTCATTTTTACCATGGTCTAGATGTGGATCATGGAAATACCATGGTTTCAACCTGCATTATACATTTTACCATGGTAGCTCAGTTGGTAGAGCATGGCGTTCGCAACGCCAGGGTTGTGGGTTCGATTCCCACGGGGGGCCTGTATGAAAATGTATGAATTCACTAACTGTAAGTCGCTCTGGATAAGAGTGTCTGCTAAAAGACTAAAATGTAAAATATAACGCACAATTATGATAATGGTACCAAAAATTATCATATGGTACCATCTTTATTAATTGTGCGTTACCATAGTACAATGGCAGTATAATGCAGTAAATAAATAAACCCCCCAAGGTCAAAAGAGCGTGGTTGGTATTTTGTTGATAAATGTATATACCAGTATGGGCACGTTTCTGATCAAATCAGAGGCAGGCTACTATTGCTGGTCCTAGTTTGTCTGTTACATCAAAGAAAAAGGAAAGAGTTGCTATGAAAAAGGGGTAATACTTTCTGTATAAATAGTACAGTTTTTTGCTCATGTTTGGGTTCCCAGTGTTGCCAACCTGAAATGTGGGAGAATGTGTGATATATTGAAGCCTAGTCTTTGGCATTTTGTAATCATTTACAGTATTTATAGTCAAAGGGTGTTGTGCTTCTTTGGCTCTCACGCTAGCCATGGCTACTAGTCAGTGAGCCAGTTGAATGAGAGAGCCAAGGCAACTGAACTGAAGAGAGAAGCACCAGATTAACGAAATATTGTTTTGATAGCTTCTATGCTAACTGACTTTTATAAATTAATTAAACTAACATTGGCTAAAGTTATCTCCAGTCAAGCTAGCCTGTCGTAGTTATGGCGACAGGACCAACAAACGTTCGCACAGAGTGTAAACAAAGGGAAACATTGTAACTTTATGTTTTTAGGGATATGTTGATAATTACATAATGAAATGTATCTATGAGATAAGATGACAGTACCTTTTTACAACAAAGAAAATGTTACTATGTTGCATATTTAGAATTGTATAAGAGTAGCCAAGTCAGTTGAATGAGAGTGAGCCAACTAAAACTGTAAGGGCCTCCTGTAGCTCAGTTGGTAGAGCATGGCGCTTGCAAAGCCAGGGTTGTGGGTTCGATTCCCACGGGGGGCTAGTATGAAAAATGTATGCACTCACTAAAACTGTAAGTCGCTCTGGATAAGAGTGTCTGCTAAATGATAAAGAAAAGAGAGCCACACCAGATACAATTTTAAATCTTCAAGGTTTCATTCTTCTCACCATACCCAATACAGGTCCCAAGGTTTAAGAGGGTACACTACACTACTAGACCATGTGTGTTGTGGTTTTTCACTATGCGCTAAAGGGGTTTAAGAGGGTACTAGGCCTACACTTTGCCATTGCAGAGCAAGTAGTCAATGTTGCATAATGTGAGGACCATAAATTGCTATGTTTTTGGTCACTTTACCCGAAAAACTGTGGGACACAGACCATCATAATAATAATATGCCATTTAGCAGACGCTTTTATCCAAAGCGACTTACAGTCATGCGTGCATACATTTTTTTTGTGTATGGGTGGTCCCGGGGATCGAACCCACTACCTTGGCGTTATAAGCGCCGTGCTCTACCAGCTGAGCTACAGAGGACCATATAATATAGTCCCCTGTAGCTCAGTTGGTAGAGCATGGCGCTTGCAACGCCAGGGTTATGGTTTCGTTTCCCACGGGGGGCCAGAATGAAAATGTATGCACTCACTAACTGTAAGTCGCTCTGGATAAGAGCGTCTGCTAAATGACGTAAATGTAAATTGTAAACAACTACCATGCTTTCATGTTTCACTACATGCTGCTAGTACAAAACCATTGTACTACCATGGTAAAACATTTTCATTGTACTACAATGGTTAATTTGTGTACATTGGTAGCTAGTACAATTTTAAAAATATCATGTTATTTTCGGTCACTACCATGGCAGGAAAATACCATGGTACTGGTGCAAATAACATGGTATTTTCCGGCTATGGTATTGCAATGAAAAAATTACCATGCCACTACTATGTTTTTTTTGTGACTACCATGGCAGGAAAATACCATGGTATTTGCACCAGTACCATGGTATTTTCCTGCCATGGCAGTGACCAAAAAAGCATGGTATGTTTTTCATTGTACTACCATGATACATTTTTGTAAGGGTGAAGAGCATGACCACAATTACACAAATATTTTGTATTTGTATTTATTAAGGATCCCCATTAGTTCCTGTCAAGGCAGCAGCTACCCATTTAGCAGACGCTTTTATCCAAAGCGACTTACAGTCATGTGTGCATACATTTTTACGTATGGGTGGTCCCGGGGAACGAACCCACTAACCTGGCATTACAAGCGCCATTCTCTACCAATTGAGCTACAGAGGACCACCCTCTTCCTAATATTGAGGCAGTTATATACAATTTAAAATATTACATGACATTACATTTCAAATCACTTTTCACAACACATTAAGTGTGTTTCCTCAGGCCACTACTCTACTCTATCACATATCTACATTACAAAATCCATGTGTACGTATGTGTAGAGTGTGTGTCTTATCATGTGTATGTGTGTCTTTGCCTGTGTGTGTGTGTCTCTCTTCACAGTCCCCTCTGTTCCATAAGGTGTATTTTTATCTGTTTTTTTAAATCTGATTCTACTGCTTGCATCAGTTACCTGATGTGGAATAGAGTTCCATGTAGCCATGGCACTATGTAGTACTGTGCGCCTCCCATAGTCTGTTCTTGACTTGGGGATTGTGAAGAGACCTTTGGTGGCATGTCTTGTGGAGTATGCATGGGTGTCCGAGCTATGTGCTAGTAGTTTAAACAGACACCTCCGTGCATTCAGCATGTCAACACTTTTTACAAAAACAAGTAGTGATGAAGTCGATCTCTCCTCCACTTTGAGCCATGAGAGATTTACATGCCTATTATTAATGTTAGCTCTCATTTTACATTTTAGTCATTTAGCAGACGCTGTTATCCAGAGCGACTTACAGTTAGTGAGTGCATACATTTACATTTAACGGCCAGTCATGCTGCCCTGTTCTGAGCCAATTGTAATTTTCCGAGGTCCCTCTTTGTGGCTCCTGACCACACGACTGAACAGTAGTCCAGGTGCGACAAAACTAGAGCTTGTAGGACATGCCGTGTTGATAGTGTTGTTAAAAAGGTAGAGCAGCACTTTATTATGGACAGACTTCTCCCCAATTTAGCTATTGTTGTATCAACATGTTTTGACCATGACAATTTACAATCCAGGGTTACACCAAGCAGTTTAGTCACCTCAACTTG